AAGAAGAAGAAGAAGAAAACCCTGAGAGACAAATGCAGAGCTTGACAAAAGAGACAAGGAAGCAATGTTTGAATTGGATACTTTGTAGCAGATGACAAGTGTCCTTAGAGACTAACAGTTTGTCCTGAGAAATAGCAGAAAGTGGGAGAAATGGAAAGTGAGCTCAAGGAATGGTGTTGTATTCATGAATCAGGACTAGAATACAAGTTGCCTTTTCTTCAAGTCCTAAACTGAAAACACCAATGGTAGCTATGGACAGTGGATGTAGAAACTTTTTAGAACTTGAAGCCAAACTATAAATGTGACAATAAAAGTTTCAAGTCACAGGGGAGCCTGGGTGGCTCAGTCGGTTAAGTGTCTGACTTCAGCTTAGGTCATGATCCCACGGTCCATGGGTTCAAGCCCTGCGTCGGGCTCTGTGCTGACAGTTGGGAGCCTGGAGCCTGCTTCAGATTCTGTCTCCCTCTCTCTCTGCCCCTCCCCTGCTCACACTCTGTCTCTCTCTGTCTCTCAAAAATAAACGTTAAAAATAAAAGTTTCAAGTCACATATAAGGGGGGAAAAGGAAGCTGACCAGGGAGACTTCAAACCAACTGGATGGAAGTCTAGCTCACTTGTTCACTGAGCAACACCCACCCTAAATCAAGACCCTCGTTGCCTCAGCAGGTAGACCTGTCCTCACCAAGCTCCCCTGTCTGGGCGGTTGGTGCTGAGGGATGGCAACACACTGAAAGGCTCTGCTTTGTCTGTTGCAGTGGTTCTCAAGGTGTAACCGGGACTTTTGGGCGTCCCTGAGATCCTTTCTGGGTAGATTCCATGAGGTCAGCACGATATATTTTTTTTTTTTATGAAATTTATTGTCAAACTGGTTTCCATACAACACCCAGTGCTCATCCCAACAGGGACCCTCCTCAATGCCCATCACCCGCTTTCCCCTCTCTCTCACCTCCCATCAACCCTCAGTTTATTCTCAGTGTTTAAGAGTCTCCCATGGTTTGCCTCCTTCCCTCTCTGTAACTCTTTTATTTTTTGCCTCTTACCCTCCCCCATGGTCTTCTGTTGAGTTTTTCAGGATCCACACATGAGTGAAAACTATGGTATCTATCTTTCTCTGTATGACTTA